GTGTCGTGTCAGGCCGTGGTCCCTTCTGCCCATGCGAGGGCCGACGCCCACGACGGCCCAGTGGTGCGGGGCTCCATCAGAGCTGGCCGCCCGTCGACTGCAGCTGGGGCCGCCTGAATGCCCAACCTCGCGGACGGCTCGACGGCGCACGCGGCGCCGCGCAGGCTGCGAGCGCTGCAACCGCACGCGGCGGCGAGCCATTCCGCAGTCGCCGACGATCGCATCACGTGGAGAGCTGGATGGCCAACTGCGGACGCTACGGCGGGTTCGCCAGCCCCACCCGCGGCAGACGAGCAGCAGGCTGGACATGCCTGGAGCCGCGAGACCCTCGAGGCCAGGCTCGCCGACGCCCGTGGGCCCCGCAGGCTCGCGGTGCTCAGGAACCACGCGCGCCACGCTGCCATCATCGCCCGCCAAGCGCCAAGCGGAGGCAGAGGGGTTCAAGGCCGCCAAGAGGCACGAGCTGAAGGCGAGCGCCTCAAGAAGCAGCGCTACGGTGGGACGACGAAATGTTGCAAGTTGCTCCTGGCCGCGCACGGCCGCGCCGACATTGCGACGCCACCTCGACAAAACGCCCCCGCCCCCTAAATTTCAATGTTGGCATCGGGCGAGAACCCCAAGTCCGGGAGGACAGAATAATGCAAGTCAACATTGAAATACGGGGGAAGGGGAGCTCCTCGGATATCGATGGAATATGATCAAAATTGTCATCTTGTTTCTCGGAACGATCATATAACTTGCGATATTTTGTCCGCCCACTGCGTTTGTCATCCCCCTGCAGGGTGAAGGCTGACGCGGAGGGCGGGGGACTCGGAGAACTGGGGGAAGGATGATGGCGAGGATGATCAAGGGTACAGGGTCGACGTTCGGTCGAAGGTCGACTGCCGAGCTTCGAACAGGGTGCGAGCCGGAGCCGGGCCGAGCCGCCACTGGACCGAAGGGTTCACGCCTCGCTGATGTCTGAGCTGGACCCAGCTGGTTCGAGTTGGGCTGACCTGGGCGCACCTGCGCAGGGCTGACCTGGACGGGACTGCAATATATTGAGCTCGGGTGGATTGGGCCGCGCAGACCTGAGCTGGGCTGCGCTGGGCTGCCTCCGCTGCGCAAGCAAAACAGAACAATATATTGGGCTTCGCCTTCGCCCGGCGAGCAGCGCCGAGCCCGCGTCGCGCCTGGCCCGCGCCAGGCCGATCGTGGGCCGCGACGAGGACATGCGCGGCCCTCGCTGTGATCGCATCGCCAGGCGCACCCTTGGCTGCGCTGGGCACTGCCCAAGCTCTGTGCCGAACGTCGCCCGGTGCTGGCACGCGGCCGCGCAGCGGGGCAGGGCGCGCCGGGCGACGACGGGGTGGCGGGGCGCGCGCGGCGCCTGTATCTGGCCTATTTGAATACTCCCAGTACATTGGAATACTATTTGAATACCTATTTGAATACCCTATTTGAAAACTTCAGTTATATGGGGGGAACCGATTTGAAACTTGAAAATAGAAAGAAAGAAAATACCTTCTTTTGAATTCTACTATTCGCGCGTAGCAAATGCAAATCCCCATATAACTGCAGTTTTCATATAGGTATTCAAATAGGTATTCAAATAGCACACTGGAGTTTTCAAATGATGCAAATGCAAGCGCGGCGGGCGCGGGGCCGCCCTGTCGCCGCCCGCTGCTCTGAGCAGGCCACGCGCCAGCATCGCCCAGGCAGAGCCTGCCGCGCCGAGCCCGCGCAAGTCCGCCGCGCGGCCCAGGGGCGGCCGCTCGCGCTCCAGGCGCAGCCCGAGCGCGGCCCTGGCGCCGGCCTGGAAATAGCTGACAGGAGGTCAACGTCACTCCGCACCAACTCATGCCCGTCGGGCGCCCACCGCGGATGAGCCGACAGGCCTCGGCTGAGCACGCCAGCGCTTAGATGGGCAAAAGGGCCCTGCGACAGGATGTTTACTCCGGGAAGGCCATTGCGAGCGCGCGTCAAGATCGGCTGCCAGTCGGGAAAAATACAACTCAAGAAATTACACTCAAACGGCTGGTGGGCGGCTGGCCCGAAGTCCCGGCGCCCCACCGCGGCGACTGGGCATGAACTTCGCATGTTCCCCGTGTCCTCGGCGGCGGGCCGCCAGCGGAAGGCCGCGTGTTCGCGGCGTCGGCAGCCGCGCGGGGCGCGCAGGGCATCGCTCCTCGAAGTCCTTCCCCTTTACGCGCTGGAGGGCCTTGCAGCGCCGGCCCATGGACTTCACCAGAGGAGTCAAGATGGCCTCGGGCACGCGCTGGAGAGCCCGCCTGAGGCGCGCCGCGAAATGGGCCCTGGCTTTCCTCTTACCAGGCGAGCACGAGGGCCTCCTGCTGCTTGCGGAGGCGGCGGTTGACGCAACCCCAGAAGCCGCAACTAAACGGGCTGATGTCTGGCGAGCGCCTCGGAAAAAGGCAGCGCCTCGATGGAATTGTCGAACTTGGTCTGCGCTGCGCTCCTGCGCCCCGAAGGAGTCGCTGCCCCCCAAAACCGGGGAGCGCTTCTTGCTGGAGTACGCCCGGCGCAGCGCTGGCGACAAGGACTTCGAGTGCTGGGAACTGGGGCTGACGAGGTGCATGATTGCTAGATGCCGTGCACTTCGAGTCATAGAAAAGTCTGTGCTTCCATCGGTGGGACGACGAAATGTTGCAAGTTGCTCCTGGCCGCGCACGGCCGCGCCGACATTGCGACGCCACCTCGACAAAACGCCCCCGCCCCCTAAATTTCAATGTTGGCATCGGGCGAGAACCCCAAGTCCAGGAGGACAGAATAATGCAAGTCAACATTGAAATACGGGGGAAGGGGAGCTCCTCGGATATCGATGGAATATGATCAAAATTGTCATCTTGTTTCTCGGAACGATCATATAACTTGCGATATTTTGTCCGCCCACTGGAGCCTGTTGAGTATCGGGTGTTGTGTTGGAGAAGGAGGCTGTTGAGTAATGGGTGTTGTGTTGGAGACGGAGGGAGTTGAGTAGAAGGGAGCCCAAAAAGTCTTCCAAAACAGAGCCTCAAAAGTGAGTCCGAAAATCGTAGGAATCATATGTAAAATCATATATAATCAGGACAAAGGGGGGTTCTTGGTGGGTGCACAGGGCTATATATATACATCTAGAGTTCTCAACAAACTCCTGTGTTCGTTGGATTCCGAGTGGTTCTTAAAAGCGGGCAAATGCAGACTTGATGCATGATGCTACAAGTGTTTGCGGAACATGATTGGGATACCGCCGTCTTACTTTTCGAGGGTGCAAGTATCTAGTGCCATAGTGCTGGAGAAGGAGGGCTCCAAACCTCTGTCCGCAATTCTGAAAGACCGCCGAGTGCAACTTTGTAGAAATATTGCCTTGCCGACTGACGTTTCACTGGTTGAACATCTGGTGTGCGATGCCATCGGCGGCCCTAGAAATTCGGCTCCTGAGCATCGAGGCCGAGGTCGTCCGAGACAGCAGCGGGCACAATGTCTGTATACTGTGGCACACGTACGAGGATATTTCGCGCAATCCTTTCATCTGCCCCCTCTCCGTTCCCCTTCCCAATCCCTCCTCCTGCCTCCCTCCCGTGACCTGCCCGGGTCCGCAGTCTAGCTGCCTTTCTTTGCTCTCACTTCTGGCTGCCACGCGTGCAGCCTTGCCAACGCGCCTGCTCGACGCAAGGCTCCCGTTCGTCAGTCCGTCAGTCAGCCAGCCAGCCCAGATGATCGGAAGTGTGTTCCGCTCCGCGGGGTCTTCCTCGACGTCACCCCCCCCACAAGGCCAGGATCGGGCCCCAGGACCATCAAGCACGGATCCGGGTCGAGAAAAATCCGGGTCGAAAAACGATCCCCTGGGGGAGCGGTCGGGACTCCTGGGGCCGCGGGTGGAACATATCGTATCCGCGGACGTCAGGGTCAGGCGTGGGGCGAGGGGGGGGGAGCTTTCCGAGAAGGCAGGGGGGGAGGCTGCTCGGAAGCCGCGCCTCATCCCGAGAAGTTGCGGGAGGCCTTCTGGACAGGGGTGGGGCGAGTGGGGGGGAGCTCTCAGGCAGGGGGGGGCTGCTCGGAAGCCGCGCCGCATCCTGAGAAGTTGCGGGAGGCCTTCTGGAGGGCCCGAGTCCCTTCTGAGGGGCACCCTGCCTTGCTTGAAGGGGCCCAGGATAACACACATAAGCGCACACAAATCCCAGGATTCCCCATGTTTCCCACATGTTCTGGGTTTTCGTCCTCCCCCCCACCTGCCGTGGTTTCCCATATTTTCGGGGGAATCGACGATTAATGGTGTCTGTGTGTCTTCTCTCCTCCTCACCCATCATGACGGACTTGACCATTCTGGTCCACGTCTATACCGTGTGGGTTGTGCCATGGCAAGCACAGAATTCCGAGACACTTTGTCCTGTGCGCGTGCTCGAGCTCTCAGGGCGCCAGCCGCCGTCAGCTCCTCCCCTTCAGCTTCGCGGCTGCGGTCTGAGTGAGCCCGCCGGCCTGCGCCTGTTGTAGTAGCTAGTTCGCCTTGTTCGCGTCCCGGACTTTGCTCTTGCCGCCTGACCATCGTCTCGTGGCCGCGACCAAAAAAGTTGTCTCTCCTCCTGATTGTGAGACGGCCATCCACCCCGCCCCCTCCACCCGTGCGCCTCGCCAGCAGCAGGGGCGGGCCTTCCGTTCGGTGCTGCCCGGCGGATCCGTCGCGGGACGCCTTAGCGGCTGGGCGGCCTGGCGAGGGTGCACAGTCGGCCCTAGGCCAGAACAGTATCCTTCAAGAGCATGAGGCCCGAGAGTAGTATTCACATTGGTCAGGCGCGCGCCATACCTGATCTTTTACCCCTCCCACGCAAGTTCACGTAGTCGGGGAAGAGAGGAGAGAAGTATTCATGTCTGGTAGCTGACTCCGCCAACCAACCTCGTCTCGGGCTGGGGGTCCTCAGGTCCAGCGAAACCAACCTTCTCCAACGAACCCTTCTGGCAACCTCCGATCAGCGCGCCGCGCCGAAGATTAGTACGCCAGAGCCGGCAGCGCGACGTTTTCAGGCCGCAGCGAGGCAGAGGCAGTCCGCACGCGCGCTCAGGCGGGCCGGGAGACGGCAGGCGCAGATTGTCTGGCGGCAAGACATGGAGAACACGAGGGAGAGGGCGGCCGCGGGGCGGGGGGAGGGAGCAAGAGCGCTCACGCGGCGGAAGCCGCGGCGGCGCGACACGCTAAGCACACGTTCCCGACCGTAATGTCTGGTGGGGAAGAATTCCGTGGCCCCTCCCCACAGCCCCCGCCCACGCCTGCCCCCTCCCGCCACCAAAAGCGCGGTGACGGATACGCACGGCACCCCAGGTGGATAGTACAGTCGGATTTGATTGGAGAGGACACGCGAGAGGACATAAGACCCTTCCGAGGGCCACGTTGCCACAGGAATGTAGGAGGCATGGGTCGCGAGACGCAGGACACAAGGGTACACTTGATTTGGCAGGGTCGACCTATACTAATACGGGCCGACTGCCACGAAGCACGGCACAACAAGAGCAACGCCGAGAGCGAAAGTGGAGGAAGGAAGATCATGAGTGGGGCAAGACCCAGAACTCCGACGTCGTGTTTTTGTTCGCAACTCGGCCCCCAGAAGACTATACTTCGGTCGGGCATGTCCCCCTACAGGCAGATTTTGGGCGATAAATTTGACATAGTTCAAACATATTCAAAAATGGCAAGCAAATTAACGACAAATCGTCCCCCCACTATTTTTTCTGATTAGTTTGGCATATTCCTCCTGCAGAGGGACGTGCCCGACTTGAGACTAGACCCCTTCCCTGGAACCCGTCTTTCCATCCCGGAGTAGTCTTTGGACGGCCCCGACGCCCAGCGAGAGAGCCCTGGAAGCCGACAAGTGCCCCAGACCTCCCGTCGTGATTTCTCCTTCTCCGACGAGAACAGGAGGCCGGGAAGTGAGCACCGACACCAGCACAGGGGGCTGCCCCAAGCAGGGAAAGATGGCCCTGGATTTGAGCAGGGACCGACCGTCCCGGCATTCCTATAGTCCTACCACGAAATGTTCTTAGAACCCAAAAATGTTCTAAGAACAAGAACAATGTTCTTAGAACATAAACCCGATGTGATAAAACAAGACAGACTCCGCCAGAAATGTTCTAAGAACATTTCGTGGGAACCACAAAAGGTTCTCAGAACACTGTTTGGTAGGGCTACAGGCGAGCCAGGACGCTTCGCCACTGCCTGACTGGCTGGTGGCGTTGGTCACTCTTCGGCCACCTGAGAAGCCCGAACCTTACCACCATCGCCGAGATCGGCAGCATCTTCCCTCGCTGGGGGCACACCGCCGACATCGGTGTTGGCGTCAACCCTCCAGGTCTCCGAGAGCAGAGGTGGGGAGAGCGGAAGCCGACGTGGGGAAGCAGGAGGCTCCAGATGAGGCGACGAAGGTCCCACAAGCGCGCGCGCGCGCGTCACGCGGGGCACTCTAGGCGCGCCGGCTGGGGCCCCGAACGCTTGAAGGCCGACACCAGGCCCACACCGATGTCGGAGCTGCCCACGTCGGCGCCACAGCCTGCACCAGACAGGGCCGAACTGATCTTGCTCTTCTCGCCGACGGAGGCCTGCACCGTGACGTTGGCGTCCCAGCCGTAGGCGTTAAACTCCGGCGTGAGCACGACCTGCCACCAGTCGTCTGTAGCTCCCCAGCCCTCGGCGTGGGCCTTCTCGATGAGCGTGGGCAGGAAGGTCTTGCGGATGACCGTCATGGTGGTCGTGTGCCAGTGCGCGAGGCCCTTCTTGATCGGCTGGTACGCGCTGGCAGAGCAGCCCTTGGCCGGCTCGCCGTTCTTGTTCCAGAAGTCGCTGCTGTACTTCTTCGTCTTGGGATTGAAAGTGACCGGGTTGGCGATGGCGTAGTCGAAAGATTCACAGCCCTGCACGAACTCATAGAGCTTGGGCCAAAAGCCTGGTAGCAGCAGCGCGTCGTCCTCAAGAATGACGACAAAGTCGGCGTCGGATTTGCTGGCCTTCTCCCAGATCTGGTAGTTGTTGCAGAAGAGGGACTGCTCAGCATAGCGTTTCTTCTTCCCGTGGAGCTTCTCCAGGCCGTGCATCTTCGTGACGAGAGGGCAGGAGTCGGCCCCGACGGCGCGCTGGCGGTAGACAGGCTGCGGTGCGCCGAGGAGTTGGCTCTGCATGCACCGGCAGCGGTCTGGCCTCTTGTCCATGTTGATCACGTACGTGTCAATCCTCGGGACGGCGGCCGACTTGTCCTCACCATCTTTCACGACGAGGGCCGCCGCTGGCAGCCACAGCAGGCAAAGGCTCCCAATGGCGCTCTGCAAGGTCATCGCCCCGACGTCGTGTTCAGTAACGAAAGGCACCCGAACTTCCTTATGAATATATGGCTGCACGCGCTGGTGATAGCGGTGATAACGATAATGGCCATGCTGGCGGTTGTGATGACGGTGATGATGGCGATGGCGACCATAGTTGATGGACAAGCGGAAGGGGAATGAAGAGAAGGCGACAGAAATATGATGACCAGGACGATGTGGCGAAGGCTACTGGAGGGTGAGCATGACACGATGAAGGCGGCGGAGGCGGCTGGAGGCGGCGGAGGCGAAGAAGAGCATGAGGGTTATGTTGGTGGAGGTCGAAATGGTAAAGCTTCCACCTTAAATCAAATGACGACGGGGGTACTTGCAAAAGGTGAACACATGGAAAGAGCAATGATGAGGAATGCGGATCAAGAACGCGGTGAAGATAAGGAGGGCCCGTAGGAGTGACGAAGGTGGTGGTGGGGGTGTTTGTGATTACGACAGCACTTATGGAAATGGTGGTAACGATGAAGCAGGTGATGACGATGATTATGACGAGGCTGACGACGATGATGATGAAAATGGTGATGGTGACAACGATGCTGATGGTGATGGCATGATGAAATGGCAACGTTAAGGAACAACAGCACATCGGCATGCGAACTGAAGACCGCGAGTCCGCACTCGCCATCAAAGTCCATATCCAGCGCACGAGTTACTACTCAGGAAGAGACTGGCGGAGAGACGTGAAACAATCAGCAACTGAGCCGGCGACCACGCCCGAGGAGGCCCTCGCAGCCCCTGCGCGGGAAGGGTCGGGGCGGGGCGGCAACCCTAGCGCTTCATTGAAAACCTGTGGCGCGCAGGAAGGCACAGAAACAAGCAGCGGCTCAGGAAAGACCTACGGGCGTCCTGTCATGGGCACCTGTGCCAGGCAACCCGCAGCGCCAAAAGGCCAGAGAGCGACCGCCCGCGGACCTCTGCCCACCTACTCCGCCATAGAGATGAGGCAGCGAGAGAGGCTTTCGGGGGAACCTCCGAATCCGCGCGCGCGCGGCGGCGCCGAGGGGGGCGCGCGCTGCATAGGGAGAGCGCGAGAGCCAGGCGGCGCAAAGACATGGAACAGCGAGCGCAAACGGAACGAAGTGACGAAAAGCGACGCTCCCACGTCACGACGACGGGCCATCAGGGACCGAGCCAGGCGATGGGCCGAACCGGACACCGCAGCACGCAGGACAGGCACCAGCACCGCGGAGCAGCAGCAGATGGGGCACGCGGGAGAGGGGTGCCGCAGCAGCAGCGACGGCGGAGAAGAGCGAGTGCATCAGGGGAGCGAGCACAGGGGCGCAAGAGGAGCGAATTCGACAACGACGAGAGCCCCACCAGGGCAGGCAGCCCAGAAGACTTCGTCGAAGACCTGCGGCGCGCAGGAGGGCACGGAGACCGCGCGGCCACGGCGGCAACGGCACCCGAGACCTCGCTGCGAGCATCTGTCCTGCCACTAGACTTAAGTCGGGCGTGTCCCCCACAGCGGGGTTTTCAACGAACAATAAAGAATACCCCAAAAATAGTCCAAACATAGTCTGGGAACTATTTGTTGAATATGTTTTGGCCTTTTGGGGGCATTTTGGGGGTATTTTCTACTTTTCGTCAAAGTTCCCCCTGTAGGGGGACAGGCCCGACTTAACACTAGAAGATATTCGGCAGGCATCTCCTTCAGCGTCGCCAGATCGACGGCCGCGCCGCGAACAATCGGAGGAGCGCAGGGACACCCGCGCGCCCCCGAGATACGGTGGACCAGCAGGCACCTTTCAGCCGCGGCTCCGCTGCGGGGCGGCCAGAGCCCCGGGGCATCGCCGGCGGCCCAGCCCCAGACAGGCCCTGGACAGGCAAGCGGGGGGGGCGGGGCGAAGCCCCCCCAAAAGCCAGCCCGAACAGAGATAAGAGCATCTAGAGCGACGGCGCACATCGAACGCCGATTGTGGCGCGGTGGCGGGGGCGCGAGAACTACGCGTCGGAACCGAGACGCATCGCCCAAAGCTGGGCGAGGAAAGGGGAAAGAGAGCTGAACTCGTGCGGCAAAACTCAAGACGTGCCGGACAGTGCTCCGGAGGATCCACGGCACCCCTCACTCCGCAGTTCCAGCAGCAACGAACAGGGCCACTTGCACAGACACCTCGAGCAAGAACGTGGGGGCCAGCCAGCGCCAGATTAACAGCGGCTACCTTCGACCACCTTGCGGACTTCCTGCACGACCTCTGCAGCTTGAGAGACGCGCGGCCCCGGATGCGAAACGCGACGCGCATCGGGAGACATCTGATAAAGGACGCGAGAGGGGGGCCGCGCCCTCACGCGGCGACGCAGTTTCTTTTGGGGCCCACCCGCCCGTGGGAAGATCGAACGGAGAAGACTGTTGGACTGCCGAGCCATGACCATTGAACGCACTTACGGGCGATGCAGCCATGGAAATCGCATGCGGCCAGGGCGAAACTCACCCCGCGTCGCCAGGCCCCCAAGGAGGAGGCGCACTTTCGAGAGAGCAGCGGAGTAGCGCGCGAGACGAACCTGGGTCGCCACCCCAAGATTGAGAAGGTTAGGAAACTCAATCCCCGGTACCAGGTCACAGCGCCGCGGACACAACGCACGTTTCAATGGAAACCTAGAGCCCGCCATAAGCTTCTGGCGCATATTACCTTCAACTAGGACGACGTCCTTCGAGACCGGGTAGAACTACATCACATGCCGGAGAAAGGAGCTGGCTAACACCGCATGTGCGGATAGTCATTGCCAGAACCCCCGACTACATCGCATGACTAACGAATTGGATGTTCTCAGCTCCATTCCCGACATATTCCACGAGACGCCGCCCATGGCATGACCGCAATGAACCAGCGCGCGCGTCCCACGATGAAGCCGAAGTCCAACGCCAGCATCCAACGTCTGAAACAGGGGCAAGAACAAGGGCAGCCCCAGGACAGCACTCCGAAGCCCAAACCAAAGATCATCGGCAAATCCTAGAATCTGCGGCGGAAGTCTAGACGCCAGCCGTCGGATGCACGGGCCCAGCACAAGAGCGGACAGGCATGCCAGATGGGTCTCCCTGACGAGCCCCCTTCTGTAGCTCGATGCAACGACGCCGCTTGCCGCCGAAAAAAAAACAATCCCAGAACTCTCCGGATAAAGTGCCTCGAAGAGACCAGAAATCCCAAAATGAATCTGCGTCGAGATCAGGGCCAGAAGACGCCGGGACGTCGCGGGGCCCGGGAACGGCGCGGGAAAATCGGCGAGAAACGTGCGCGCCAGATCCCCCACAAGCATGTGCCGTTGCAGCCCCCGAACTTCAGGGCCCAGAGCATGATCAATCACAGGTCGCCCTTCCAGGCATGCCAGCTCCAACCTCCAGGAGAAAGCCGTCGACACGACCTGATGGCACGCGTCGCCCGCGGCAAGCGGGCGGCGGGCGCTAAGAGGGCGAGATAGGGGGAAGATGCAGATCCGATGGGGTGGCCACCCCTCTGCAAGAAAGGCAGGGGGCATCCCCCGCGCGGCGGCAGGGCCCGCCCTTCCGTCCCCTGCAAAAAGCGAGGCGGCACAGCTCAGGAGGTGGCGATGGGAGCGGGGGGGGGGGGGGGGACTTCCCGCAGGAACATGCACGGCGCCAGCGGGCCCAGGCGTGGCGTCGCTCCGACCGCGAACCGCTCCCTCGAAACAGGCGTGGCGTCGCTCCGACCGCGAACCGCTCCCTCGAAGTCATCGGGGCCCCTGAACCCTAAACCCTAAACCCTAAACCCTAAACCCTAAACCCTAAACCCTAAACCCTAAACCCTAAATTCCCAAGCACCTCGTTGTGCTTCTGCCCACCAGCCACCCCTCCCCTGCGACCCCTGCAACGCTGTGCCCGCGGCCCCCCCCCTGGGTCGGGCCGGCAGGCTTCGCCGCGCTCGGGGGCCTCGCGCGTGCCTCTCCCAGCGCCGCGCGAGCGCCGCGCCGCCGTCGCGGCGGGGGCGGGCGGGGGGCCCCCGCGGGGGGCACGGATCGAGCCCGAAGAGATCCGCCTGCTCGAGGAGGAGGAGGGGGAGGAGGAGGAGGAGGAGGAGGAGGAGGAGGAGGAGGAGGAGGAGGAGGAGGAGGAGGAGGAGGAGGAGGAGGAGGGAGGAGGAGGAGAGGAGGAAGGAGGAGGAGGAGGGAGGCGGAGGAGGAGGAGGAGGAGGAGGAGGGGAGGAGGAGGAGGAGGAGGAGGAGGGGGGAGGAGGAGGAGGAGAAACCTCTGGGTCCAGGCTCGCTCGGCCCTCGCCTCGGCCTCGGGCCCCCGACCTGCCCCTCCCGGCCCACCCTCCCCGGCGCGGCCGCTCCGCAGCGGCCGCGGCCGCAGCGGCCTCGGGGGAGAGCGGCGGAGGCCCGCGCCGGGGTCGAAGCTGCTCTTGGACGAAGTTTGGACTGCTCTTGAGGATTCCTCCTGCAGAGGGACATGCCCGACTTGCATCTAACTTCGCACATCGCGCCCTGCGATGGGCGACGCGCGACCTCTGAGCATCGTTTATCCGACACCCATCCCCAGCGGCGTGGCCTGGGCCCCACTGGCCGATCTCTCCCCCCTTGGATGGGGATACAGGCCGTCTCCTCCGGGCTTTGAGGGGCACATCCCCACCTGGGGTGCTGAGATGCTGGGGGTCTTAGGGAGCCAACAAAGGACGTACGCGCCCAGCTATGTACATGAACACGGCCCCTTGACCCGCGAGGCCTGCCGCGCGATACGAGCATTCGCTCCATGCGAGCTCTCGAAACCAGCGTGGATTCATGTACATGTACGTGCTTCTTTCGCTCCTGAGCTGCGGGCGAGCAGAGGGCAGCAGCGGACAGCGCGGAGGGCTCTCTCGACTTCCGCGCGCGCGCGCCCCGCAATGCCGCGCGAGAACAGAGCGAGCCTCTTCCTCGAGAGAGCGAGCTGATCGGCAAGGGGAGCTGATCCGTCCAGAGCTTCGAGCAGGAATGCGGGCTCTGCGAGGGGGGGTCGGGCGCGACCCGGGCGGTGGGCGAAGGTATCCTCGGGAACTCTGATGGTTCGCACTCGCGGAATGAAGCAACCGCT